AGTTGTCCCTTGTCAATTTTATCATTTGGGTAGTAATTTGATATTTGCCAGAAAATAAAAAAGCGTGGGGTCGTAAGCACACAAATATAGACAGTGCAAGTATAAGGATAGACAGAACAATGCGAAATAGAGGCAGATATAACAATTGCTGACCTTTTCAGTGATAATTCCACTAATCAAATTTGCTGGAGTGACATCAAATGCAGGGTTCCAAACCGAAATACCAGAGGCAGCAACTTGTTCACCCAGTCCTCCTCGTGTATGTAACAGCTCCTTTGGAGATCTTTCTTCTATCACAATTTCTTGTCCCGAAGAAAGAGATAGATCAATAGAAGTCAAAGGAGCAGCAACGTAAAATGGTATACCATGATGCATAGCAGAAACAGCAAGGTTGTAAGTTCCGATCTTATTGGCAGTATCACCTGCAATGACATTTAAAGCTCCTGTAAAACAGTGGTTCTAAAAGCAAAAGGCCCATGCGAATTATAAGTCATATGTACCATTGGCGGCTACACGATCAGCTCCAACAATGACAGCTTTCACCCGACCAGCATTCATCAATGCAGCTGCAGCTGAATCTGCTATAAGGGTGGCTGGTATGTTCTCATGAACCAACTCGAATGCGGTCAATCTGGATCCCTGATATTAAATGGAGAAGTGAGGACGTATCTTAACCCCAACTGTTCTCTGTTTGGGGGCCAGGTGCAGGATGACTCAAATTGTAGTACAACAAGTCAAACTAGAAAAGAAGTCTTTCAACAAGACAAATCAGAACTACTGTCCACCACATATTTCAGTTTAAATTTACTATTAAGCATCTGATTCTTAGTACAAGATTCCTGAATTTGTAGTCAACAAGAATATGAATATGTCGACCAAGTATCATTTACTAAGCTACTAAAGTCCACACAAAGATGCACGTATGAAGTCCCTCGTCTTTAGATGCCGATTGGTCTTCTGCAATTAGCTCCAATTTTGATGAAATGAAGAATCGGGTTAAAAGGCATTAACTTAGGTTAGCACTAAAGGTTTTAGCTGCTACAAACCTACGTGGAGGTTAAGGTGGAGTATGTCATGTACTCCAACATTTCACTCGAAGCATCTTTTAGTACTATATAAATAGGTACTTGATGGGGATTTTTTTAGGTCAGTCTAAAGAAAATTGGAAGTGAAATACTCCTTGTAGAATAAGGAATTTGAACTGACATGTCCCAAGGTCTATAGAGTCTGGAACTGTATATGTAAGTGGACATGGTTACTTAGAACGTAAAAATCCAATAGTTACATAATGCAGTTATATTCCATAAAGGTATTAAATGATGTCTCTGTGACAATTTTGCCCTACCTTAACCTATTTTATCTGCAGATTAAAGCCTATTTTTGCTACGTAATAATTTACTGGTCTTTGACATGTTACTGCCAAACATAAGTTCATGCAGTATCTTTTTCCCATACAGTTTCTGAAATGTTAGCCTCACTGCTATTAGTGATTACTAGAAATGGATTTCAACCACTGCTCATTTAGTCATTTCTGGCCTTATTTCAGCTTAGACCTCAAAGTATTTTACACTGGAATTCCTCAACCTAGCTGCTAAAGTGTATATTTGCACCTATTGTTCCAGTGTGACTTGGCCAAAGGAAAATGATGTCAGCTGATATGCAAAGAACCAGCGACAGGGAAACAAAGAATGGCCGGAAAGCTTTTTCCTTACTCTCTTCTGTGTGTGTATAAGTGAATTACAAGGCCCAAAAATAACTGTTCGGTATTTATTCTAAATTTCTAATAAAGTGCCGGGTTGCAAGTATTATGACTGATTGGAGAAGGTGACTACTGAGTTTGCAGCAACAATAGACTAGATACATCTGCTTTTCAAGTCCTTGTTTAATTTTTCTTTCATACACATACCATATATCTACGAAGACAACAATCAAAGCATCACATATTATAACAGACTATTATTGAACCCTAACTTGCCCCACCGTAAATTACCAACATCACAAGATTATGCTAGCCCAACCGTAAATTACCAACATCACAAGATTATGCTAGAACCACCAAGAGGATGAGTCCACTAATAAGAAAAAGAAACACTCTTCACTCTTAATTGCCATAAACATTTATTATGACATGTCTATAAGTTAGCATTTACTCTGCAAAAGAAAAATTACAACTTTAATTGCTGCAGTTCAACGGAGATAACATACATAACCTTCATTTGTTATATGGCTGTAATATTCAGTGGCAGGCTCTACTAGGGTAATTAAAGCTAGAAACAACCATAGCTCATGCATTACCTGATTGAAGGGACGGGTTTCTGTGCAGAATGCCCTTTCTAGAACTCCATCAGTATAAAGTGCCCGGATAACACCAAGAGCAGTTCCATATCCAGCTGTAGCCAGACTGTTGAAAGTACGAATAAAAGTTAGAGTTACCCCATATGGGTAACTAATCATTATCACAGTTGCTTTCCATTGGTCCTGTTACAGAATTATCAATTGCAATTGCAGGGAAGCAATAGCTTACTGGAGAAGACCTTATCAAGTCAAGTAGGGTAATGTACCGATCACAACAACGTAAATAAAAAAGAAAAAATAGTATTGCAATGGACCTTCCGGTGTTGCAGTGGGTCAAAATTGTTATCTTCTGAGAGTCGGTCAGGTGTTCCTTCAGAAAACTAGCTCCGTATGATCCAATTGCCTTATTGGAAGTAACATCATCCTCCAGCATAACTTCAGCAGCTTCAATGTAAGCCTGATGGAACAGATGAGAGTTAAGTATCGTGCAACAGAGTAAAAGTATAAGTCAAGTTACTACATTTCTGTGGTGTAACTATTCCCAATTAAGTTGCATCCCTCTTCCAGGCTTGTCTCACTCCCTTACTACTGCAGTTATAATATTTAAGTAGCATAGGTGAGTGTTAGCCAAACAAGACAATGTTACCACCTGAAAAACTGAATTTGCATCTTTGGCTGTGGTAGCAGCCTTCTTTATAACTTCTTTAAGCTTAACTGCAGCATCTGAAAGATTAACAGCTGTTGGCCGACTGCACGAAGGGAACAAAATTTCATCAATACCCTTCACGCAATCAAACAACGTGGAATCTCACAATTACGAGAGATAAGCAGACAAATATTTCTGCAATACTATACCTTGAAACAAGATAATCCAATTTATTACTAAGGAAATCTGATGCATCATCAGAAGTCCCATCAAACGAAGACAGGTTTGAAACTTCTACTGCCAAAGACAGTGCGGCAGCTATAGCAATTGCAGGTGCTCCACGGACAACCATTTCTTTAATTGCATCCCTGGTGCATATGCAGAATCAAGTCAATAAAACCACTCAATACTGAAGAACCTTTTTAGGCATGATAACCAGTCAGTGAACCACATAAAAGGATAGAGAGACAATCTTTCCACTTTACTCGCCATTCCAGTACTATTTTGCTTATACATAATTCCAGTACTACTAAGCAGGAACTTTTTATATACATGAAAAATGGAGGCATAGCTATCAAACAACAACAAAAACTACTACTACTGTGCCTCAATCCCATACAAGTTGGGGTCAACTATATGAATTCCCAGACCACATTACTTCATTTCAAACAATAACGGCAACAATAACAACAAGAAAAAAACGGAATCATAAGTCACACAGAACCACCACAAGAGCTCATTAAAAACTAATATACATAACTGCTCAAGGTTTTTAAAAAAAACAGTCAATAAAGGATATAAAAGAGAGAAAAAGATTACCAGCCATCTTTTGTATCCTGGATATCCAAATAAATGGTCTCTAGGGGGAGTTTTCTCTGTTCAAGATATACTCAAATGTCAAGTCAAAGAGAAACAACAAGCTGCTCACAGAACTTGAAAAGCAAACAACTTAGAAACCATCAACTTCAGTTTCTAAAAATAAAGTAAGAATCTTTTTCACGAAAAATTTGAAAAGTGTTTTTTTTTTTTTTGGTCTTTTTAATCAGACCAGAAAAAAATCAAGGAAATCTATTTACAAAAGCACTTCTCTAAAATGAAAAGCCGCAGTAGAAGTTGCTTAAATAAAAAGAGAAAATAGAGTAGAATACTTGATCGAGTAGCTGAAGTGAGCCACGATTATAACAAATGGAGAGCAGAGTCTTGTCTCCTTCATTTCCATTAGCCATAGCTAGCTATCTTCAAATTCAACCAGAGTGGCTTATATCAAATAGAATAACAAAGAGAATTTGTGAAATAGCGCCTTTTATAAAAGCCCTAAATTCGAGTTGTGTGGTAGGTGAGAGACGAAGAAGAAGAAAAAGAAGAAGAAGAAGAAGAAGAGGGCAGAAAGCATGAAACAAGGTGGCCCCAGCAATTTATTCGCTTTCCAAAGTTGATTCGCTGAAATTTTGGTAAAAAGAATAAAGACTCGACCTATTTTGACATAAATATTTTCTTTTTGATTTAACATAAATACTACACCGGTAATTTTGGTACAAATACTATTTAAGCTATAAATATTTGCAAAATATTGAACTTAATAATTTGAATTCCAAATGAAATTATTAAAATATTGGCTTGAAAATATTGTAAGTAATGTTCTATAAGTAAACTTCTAATCTCATTCATATTTGATTTCAAATATAAATTAGTACTCAGTTCATATAATTTAATTGCACTAGTTTTAGTGTACGTGCGTTAGCACGTGTTTATAGCGTCAATAATACAAATTTATGAATAAATTATATTTTTTATCATATAAATAAACTCCTGAAATCCTATCACTACAAGAAACTTGACTTTTAACGATCATTTTTTTAACGAAAGGACATGAATCCGGTCATTATAAGTGTACTTCTAGTGACCAACATTTTTTTGGACATTAAAGTAAATTTTTAATTTCAACATTATGAGAAAAAAATATTCTATCATTAAAAGAAAAATATCCGGTCGTTAAAAAGTAATTTATTAAATAAAACAGGCGCAAACCTTTTCCCTCTTTTTTTTGCCCAAACCCAACCCCACAATCCCCAAAAGAAAACCCATAGTTTGGATAAAAAAACTCTTGTTTCAATTGGAAGAATGAAGAAAACTGCTCACTGACGGCGCCGTCTCTTGCGATTGCCCATCTTGGAGTAAACTTCTTTGAATAAGAATACTGCCTATCTCCTCCGTTAACATCGACTGCTCGTATAAGAATTTCCTTCTTATTGTAAGTTTATGCCAAATCGCTAAACTTGATGTTTTAACTATTGAGTGGAATTGAATATTCGTTTCATTGTCCAATGGTCTCTCGGTTTGATGGTATTGGTCTGCTTTTCTTTGTGCTTATCAAGTATTTTTGATTCCTTCTTAAAATATTAATGTTTCCCAATACTATCTTTTATCAGAGTCTAGTTATTTTGGATTAAACCTACCCAGAGTTGCAATTTTCTTTAATTTTTGTTGTTTTGTTGACCTAAGTATGGATTCATTTGGTACATGAGGTGAAGGGACAAATAGGTACAAATATAGGAAGTTGTAATCTCTTTTTCCTTGTCATGTATGATTTTTCTATAAATTACTCTTTATCTATGTGTTTTTCGTTGCAGTTATGGCTGAAGATATTACAATGAAGACATAATGGGTTTTTAAAAAATTATCACTAGTTGGTTGAACTGAAATACAGGGGATTTTACATTTCTATAAAGTTCTTGTCTTTACTTGAATATCTATTATCAATATATGAATTTTAGGTTTTCAAATGATGCGTCCAAGTGTTGGATGGATTTAACTAGGTATAGCAAAGAGTATATTGACGGTGCTTAATGTTTCTTGGACATTGCTTACTCTGTTGAAGATCCTCAAGGAAAAGAATAATATTGGTTTAAGTAGAAATGGACTATATGTAAGATTTGCTTAAAGACGTGATCTTTTAGCATCTTATTTTTTTCAACTTACTAAAGACATAATAAGAACTTTAGTTTCTCTTGATACAGCTTGCAATAAAAATATCAATTGAATATCACATGTTTCGAGTAACAAGCAACAAGTAAAGAAGTTTCATGTTTCACAATACTTCCCTGGCAATAAATTTCCTCCTCTAGAATTGTGCATTTGTATCTGTGAAGTAAATCACATCTTCATATCTTACTTTATGATGAAAAGCTCAAAATAATAATTCGGTATAATAACACTTTTATTCTACCTCTCTCATTATGTTCTTTTTTTTCTCCCTAAAAGGAAATTGTTTTCTTTTTTTGTTGGTGAGTTCTTGGAGATGATTGTTTATGTTTTGTTCTTTTATTGCTTCACTTGTTCAATAATTTATCTGCATTGAGTCTCGCAATCAACTCATATCAGGAAAGTGAAGGTGAAGAAGGCAGAAGTTGCTCGACATTCCCTGAAAGCACAAGTTGCTTGAATTTCTTTGAAGTCGATGCTCAGCAATTCCAGGAGGTAGTTGTTGTTGTTCGTGCAGACATTGGTTCACCATTTTTACTTCGTGATTGTTGTTTGTGAGGATAAATACCATTTCAGGTATGTCATTTCTCTTTTTTTTCGCTATTAGTTCAAGAATGTTAAATGCTTTCATTATATTAGGTATAATTGATAGGCTTTTTTCATTAGCAATCCAAAGTGAAAGATACTAATATGAATCCTTATCCATGGGTTACATTTGAAGTTTTTTTTTCTGTAACTTCTCCGAATTAATGACATGCATGAAGTGATATTATATCAAGATGTCCAACTATAAGTTGTCCCATTATCATTTGCACTCTAACTATTTATTTCCTATCTCTGACTATTTAGGTATGTGATCATATCTTTGCCGACCTTCCATTTAATATTACTCCTATTAACTTTACATGGTTACTCCATTCTAAACTTATAAATTAGATTCCAACTCCAGTAAATCTCAAAACTACAAATATCATAAGCTAGAAAAAAGAATGGAAGATGATCTTATAGTACAAAGGAAAAGAATTTTGTGTAAATGTTACCATTCTCAGCAAAAAAATGGAAAGAATTTTGTCATTGATATCTTATATGTGAGATAATATGGTTCCCCAAAAGAGAAAGCTTTCATACTCTTACTACTGAAATTCTTTCTTCTCAAAATAAATTATATTTGTGGTAGATTGTCAATGGCAATCCCTAATTCACTCAAGTGAAATTGAGAAGGATAGCCCTACCTATGTGAGACATAAGTCAACCTCCACCTATGATTAATATATGTAATTACATTGTATGCAATCTTCATATAGATCTCATGAACATTAGGCTTATCTTTATCTTTTTCTCATCTATCCCATTTTAGACATTGTACATACTACAATGATGTGGACAGAAAAAAATTAAGATAGATTTTTAATAAACTTGGAATTGTATTTCTAGTATAACTGTAGTTCTGGGTAGCGTTCTGCCTTTCTAGACAACGTTCTGCATTTGTAGATAATATTCATCATGTTTACAGTGTTATTGCATTCTGGACAGCATTTCTGTATTATTGTATTTTTGTACAGTTTTCTGCATTTCTGTAAAGCGTTCTTCATCTCTGCACAGCATTCGGCATTTTTGCACATCATTCTGCATTTCTGCACAATACTCTGCATTCTTGTGTGTTTCTACATGACTAAAGTTTTATGCAATATCAAGGCTTCCACAAGCAAATTGATGCAGCAAGTTTTTAATCTTTTTCCCTAATTATTGATGTAATGCAGTAACATACAAGTTAAAGTGCAAGAGGAACCCACTTCGTTTTGCGAGGGATTTTTTTAAAGATGTTGCTGTTTGTATATGCTATAGTTCTATTTTCTCTCTTTTAGGAGTTGAAAAAAATAATGTCATACAATTTGGTTTGGTATATTTTTGGTAATGTGATACTCTAATCCTTTGTAATCAGCAATGATGTTTATATGAGTACTCACTTTTTTGTATATGTTCGGATATGTGTGGATATGTCAATATTAGCTGTCGTTATTTATACAATTAATGAAAAAATATTTATCGCTAGAAGCACTTATAAAGACTGAGTTTGTTATCGTTATTGATGTTTTGGCGACCAAGAAATGACAATTAGCGAAAGGAAATTCAGTCGCTAAAAGGAGGAATAACGACTGGATTTGTTGCTGTCGCTAAAAAGTTTTTAACGACCGGATTCCAATCCGGTTGTGCACTTTTAACGTCGAAACTTTTAACGACCGGTGACGACCGTAATTTTTTCGGTCGTAAATGATCAATAACGACTGGAACTGGACTTTTAGCGACCAAATTTTCCCTCGCTAAAGGCCTTTTTTTCTTGTAGTGTATACTATGACGTTATTACGGGATAAAAATTTGTCTAGTAGATAACTATTATCTGTTAATATTGTGTTTAAATGAAATTAAAATAGTATATGAGGTAAAAACATAAATCAAGTGAAAATTATAAACTAAATATTAAATGTTGTGTCATCATAAGTTGCTCTTTATTTAAAATAAAATTGCACTTGGACAAGAATAATTAAAGCTTATATTAATTAGAGAATGTTATTCCATTAGTTCGTTTCTATTTAATATTTTTTTAAATAATTTATGGGTCTTCATTGTTATGATTGTTCGCTTCTATAACTTCATGTTTAATTTTCATTTCATTAACTTTTACACCTTCGTATAACTCCTCTGCAATTAAACGTTTTCCAATCTAGTGGTCTCCATTTATGTATTAAGTGGAAGAAAAAAAACGTGAGTTTTCCACACTAAATACCAATTAATGATAAATAGCATATTCTTCTTTCTAAATTGAAAAATAATTTATTAGCTAAAAGTAAGAACTATATATTTACTGTGTTGTAAAAATTTAATGAAAAGATGACATAACTATTGAGATTAATTTTTATGTACGTTGTATTGTCGCAACCAAGCATCTTTTAGCTTTGAAAATAATATTCCTATGTTCTTAGTCTTTGACATCAGTCAATTTTATTTTAATTTTTATATGTATTTCTGTATCCTATCATAATGATAAAACTAATGAATAATATATATTTTTAAACTTTTTAACTTTGTTTTGTGGGTGATTTACGTGGTTAGAATCTGATTGTAATAGCAGTAATACTCGCGTACCTTAAGTCTAGTATATATATATATATACACACACACACACTATATTAAAAGCACGAAAACCCTTAACGAAATGTCGTTAGTTTTTTTTACCCTTTAAGAATAGATTTTACATTAGACAAAATGCATATACGTATGTTAATGCCTTTATACTGGGAAGTGTCGCTTATATAAATTTAAAAGTAGTGCAAAAGTATTACACAAAGAGAATCCAAGAGGATGGAAAATCATAGTTAATAAACAATTGTCCCAATTCAATTAATAAGAACATAATTTATATTAAGTAAAATTTAATTAATTTTAAAGTTCTAAATATCATGATTAACTACATACACACCTCAAATAAGAACCATCCTAAAATTTTAGTTGACAATCTAAATGATTTAAAAATTATTCTAGTTGAAATTTTAGTTACGTACACAGTTCAAATAAGGAATCACATTTTATATAAAAAATTTACCTTGTATAAATTATTTCCTTATTTGAATTATGTAACATAACTATAATAATTTTCATGTTAGTTTTTCTGATATTTAGTATTTTAAAATCAACTATTGTGCATGTGAAATAGAAAATTTATACAAACTTATCTCATAGGCTAGACTTAGAAGATTTATCGTGGAAATCCCTAATCTTTTTTCTAGTGTTTTTTCTCTTTAATTTCTCTATCCGTCGTTGATGATCAAACTATTTACATACAGAAATAAAAAATTTATAAGCTACCTCAAATTATTCTTTGTGCACATGTATAAATAACACTATAAAATTTTAGTTGATGCTAGTCTTAATAGTTAATGCTGATGTTGCACGTAGTCCATACACAAAAGGAGTTCAAATATAATTAAGAAAAATAATTCTAACTCAATCGTCAGTTACCACGTTTGCATTTGCACTCTGCCTTGAGAATTGTCCCACACACATAACTACAATAAACAAAGAGAAAACCGCGATGAAATCCATTTTTTGCTCGTGGTTTTCTTGTGGATAAAAAGAGGGAGGGAGAGTAAAGACTTAACTTTTCACACATGGGGTTTGAAACTATTTTTAAAATTTCCATTTTAGAAGCCGAAAACAGTAAATAAATAAAATGCCCGCCAAAAGAAACTGCAAATCAAGAAGCACTTGTTACTTTAACAGTCCCAACCGCCTATCATACTCTCTTCGAGACTCATCAGAACAAACCTTGCAATCAATTACCAGTATAATATAATATAAACTCTCAAACTTCAATCACCATTGGAATCAAGAAACACAGCAATGGATCTCCATCCCTATACTTTCTTCTTCTGCTTTCTACTTTCTTGTGGTTTCTGTTTCTCCACCCCACCACCCTCTTCCTCTGCCCATGCTGCTGCAGACGCACTACGCAACCGTGGCTACTCCCTCTTCGCTTCCACCCTCGACTCCACCAACAACAACAATTTCTCCGGCACAATTTTGGCTCCACCAGACTTCATTTTCTCCTTCGCCACCGCCAATATTTTCCCCCCACGCCCCTCCTCTGTTATCCTTCTTTACCATACTCTCAAGACCCCGCTCACATGGGCCCACCTGTCGTCCACTTCCAATGCCGCTGAAATTCCAACTCTTTACAATAACAATTGTCTCTTCCTTTTCAAGAGTTTAGCAGCAGAAATAATAATTTCTTCGAGAAATACTTCAACTGGGGCTGTTAAAATCAGGCAACCTGACATCTACGTGGGCGATCATATCATCGTTCACGGCATCGACGGTGTACTGGACGCCACGTCAGCAACAGAATGCTCAGTTCCTCAAGTTCAAACTCGAACGCCTGTGGTTCAATCTCAAGATCATCGTTATCTTCTTGATCGCGCAATTAGAGCGTTAAGGAGAAGACGATTCACTGTTGCAGCTACAGCGTTGACTGTTAGAAGATTAGAGCTGTTAAGGCTGACTTCCGTTTCCGTTTTTGCGCCGTCTGATACGGCTTTGTTCTCCCGCCCTGACGGTTTCCGTTACGACTACCGTCACCATGTTGTTCCCCAACGATACCGTTTTGGGGATCTTGCGAGGAGCGCGAAGGGGAGTGCGGTTGTAGAGACTCTTGCTTCGAACAAGACGCTCGTCGTGAATTTCGTCGACGGCGTTGTGACTGTTAACGGCCTTGTTGTTAATAGAACGGAGGTTTATCGGAATCGGTGGATTGTTGTGTTAGCTGTGTCGATGTCGTTAGATGACGCCGTGAATTTGCTTGATTACGGCAGCTTTGCACCTTCTCTGGCGCCGGTGACAATGGAGATCCGCTATCCCGATGACAGTTCTCCCGCCGGTGTTCCATCTCCGTCGCCGGCGATTATAGACATTCCTTATCGGGCGAGTGGGAATCATGCCGGGGTAAATGAAGTGATTGATCCAGGATGTGTGTTCGGAATCCCGGTGGGAATCGAAGGCGGCGATCTACTTTGTCCGGCGAGTGGTCCACGGACGCGCAAATTAGAGGAGGTAGTGGATTTGACTGATGGACACGTGGCTGCTGATCCACCGTCCGATGTAAAGGATCAGCTATCTGAGGTTTTGAATCAATCCGTGCCGTTGATTTCAAGTGATCGAGGCTCAATGGATAGTGATGGGGAAGAACAGAATAGGATGAATATTATGGATGAGAACCATATAAGCTTGGCTGATGATCTCTTCTTTTATTTCTAGATTCTGATGATATGTTGGATATTTGAGTTTTTGTAAAATTAGAGCTGAATTTGGAAATTAGTTTGTAGAGGAAAATTTGTTGTTTACACTTTTGTATGTAGAACATCATTTCGTATTTCTACTTTCTCGTTTGCTTCCTTTATTTTTGATTTGTTTTTGTGTGTTAATTTTGGCGAACAAACTGAAACAGGCTACAAAATAATGTGGGGGTGTTTTATTTATTTATTTTTGTTTGTTTGAAGAAGATTTCTTTCCTTTTGTCCAAAGGAAAAGAGTCCTTCTTGGTAGGGAGCATTTTACACATTTAAAAATTTCAATTCAGATTTAGTACTGACATCTTTTTATTTCTTTCTTAACAAGCCCAATTAGTTGCTAATATTAACTAAGTAGTACATATGATTACGAAATAATATTCTGCCTAATTCTTCTCCTATACATCAGGCATGAGTTAATATTTCTTCTCCTTCAATTCAGGTGCCTTTCTTTATGGAGTACAAATTTTCTCGAGATAATCACTACTAGTATAATTTTTCACTTCTTTTCCGAGACCACCGCCATTTATTTAGTGAGTATATAACAGCAAGCAAGAAGTCAGTTTTTTCCTGTATGCGCTCGACAACGACTAAAATGGAAATGAACTGATTTTCCAGAAGAAAGTAAATATATATCAAGCTTAATCTGTACAGCAAGTCCAGTTGTTACAACAATTTAGAAGAGATACAGGGGCTTTGGCTTGCTTCATGAAAAGGAAATCAGTATCACATATATAAACATCTATATATATCACCAGGAATGGCTAGCACTTCTTCGGAGCTTTCTGCGAAAAGGCATGCATGCTTCGATGCTCAGATCAACTGCAGCTGCAAGAGCCATGAAAATGGCAACATCCTCCACACAGGTCACATGTCGCATGGCAAGTTGCACGACGGGCTTGCTGCATTTCCCTTCCCCTTGCACCCGACAGCTCATGACAAACCCGCCTGCTACAGGACTTAGAGCCGTGAAATCTCCACTCCCTCTTGGACTACGCAATGGACTTGATGCTGCTCGAACCTGTCTGTCCGTGTCTATGTAGAACTCCCCACCCTTTTCAGCACTGATCAAGATCTCGGACATGAGAAGATCTGCGCATTCCTGCTCATCAGATAGCAGATGAAAGCGACAGCAG